AGCTTTTGGAGTGCTGCTCTTTTGTCAGGTGAAGTGAAGAGAAGCACATAGGCACAGAATTTATAGGCAGAGAGATCAAAAGATCACTCACATAGTGTGAGTAGAGTGTTAATAGGCTGAATAATAAGTCTCTGCAGGTGATCAAAAGTGTCAGATGGTGTGAGTAATGTCTCAACAGCTGAATATCAAGTGAAGGGATGACCTATAATCCAATTAATTGAGACAGAGTGATAATTACAAAAAATTAAAAATAAGGTGGTGCTGGAGACAAGCCAAATGGCTGGAATAGCAAGATAGGTATAAGAGTCGCATGGCGAGGGTCTAATCAAAGTAACACCATCCAAGAATAAACTACTCCAACACCCCTCGATGTCCCATCAAATCAGGCAAGGGGACATGATGTGTGATGGCATGTCATGGCATCTTCAAACCCATTGTACAAGGAACCCCTAGCTTCTGTCATAACACTACAGACTTCTTATAGAAACTCAGCACCCACGGACCAGTCAAACCAGGAACATTACTCGTCACAATGGACATTTCAGCACGCTACACCAGCGTTCCCCAAGATGATGGCATCACTCCAACGGCCTCAGCACTCAACACCAATCCTACAACTCATCCACTTCATCCTCTTCATAGAGTCCACACAGTGTGGAAACAGGCCATTTGGCCCAACAAGTCCACATCAACCCGCCAAAGAGAATCCCACCCAGACCCATCTCCCCACCTTATCCCTGTAACCCTTCATTTCCCATGGCTAATGCACCTCATCTATACATCCTTGATTAAAATGGGCAATTTAGCATGGCCAATCCACCTACCCTGCACATCTTTGGACTGTGGGAGGAAACCCACACAAACACGTGGAGAACATGAAAACTCCACACATACAGTTGCCCAAGGCTGGAATCGAACCCAGGTCACTGGTGCTGTGAGGCAGCAGTGCAAACCACAGAGCCACAATGCCGCCCATCCTCAACCACAGTGTCTCCACCTTCGACAAGCAACTCTACATCCAGACACACTGAACAGCCATGGGGACCAAATTTGCACCCAATACGCCAACATTTTCATGCACAAGTTGGAACAAGACTTCTTTGCTGCACATGACCTCCAACCAACTCTATACACCACATACATCGATGATATTTTCTCCCTTTAGACTCATGGCAAGTAAATCACTGAAACAGCTACACAACGATTTCAACAGGTTTCATCCCACCATCAGACTTGTGTGGGCTACCCTTCAAAATCAGTCTCATTCTGGAACAAACGCATCTCCATCAAGGACAGACACTTCAATACCTCACTCTCCTGCAAGCACACAGATAACCTCACAATGTTGCACTTCTCTAGCTTCCATCCTAAACATGTTAAAGAAACCATCCCCTATGGACAAACCCTGCGTATACACAGGATCTGCTCGGATGAGGAAGAACATGACGGACACCGAAAGTTATTGAAAGATGCCCCTATAAGAACAGGATACGATGCTTAACTTATTGATTGCCAGTTCCGAGGTGCCACAGCGAAAAACCGCAACAACCTCCTCAGAAGACAGACACAGGACACAACCAATCGAGTGCCCTTTATCATCCAGTACATCCTTGGTGCAGAGAAACTACATCATGTTCTTTGCAGCCTTTAACATATCATCGATAACGAACATCTCGCTAAGATTATCCCTATACCTCTACTTCTCGCCCCCAAACAACTACCAAACCATAAACAGCCCATTGTTCACAGCAAACTAGCCAGCCTTCAGGACAACATCGACCACAACACCACACAACCCTGCCACGATAACCTTTATCAAGACATGCCAGATCATCGACATGGACACTACCATCACGTGGGAACACCACCCACTGCGTACACGGCAGATACTCATTTGACACAGCCAGTGTTATCTACCTCATATGTTGCAGGCAAGAATGCCCTGAGACATGGTATATTGGTGAGACCATGCAGATGCTATGACAATAGATGAATGGACACTGCGCAACAATCACCAGACAGGAATGTTCCCTTCCTCATTAGGAGTCGGCCTCATTAGGGGCATTTAAGCGGCTATTTGATAGGCAGATGGATGATAGTATAAGGTAGCGGTGGAGGTTAGATAGACCTTAGGTTTAGGGTAAAAGTTCGGCACAACATCGTGGGCTGAAGGGCCTGTACTGTGCTGTACTATTCTATGTTCTATGTTCTTCCAGTCGAGGAACACTTCAGAGGTCAAGGACATTCAGCCTCCGATCTTTGGGTAAATGTCCTCCAAGTGGCCTTCAAGATACACAACACAGAATCACTGAGCAGAAACTGATAGCTAAGTTCCGTACCCATGAAGATGGCCTCAACCGTGATCTTGGGTTCATGCCACACTACGTGTAACCCCACCATATTGTTCAGTATCTGTAACATCTTCCTTACTGTTCTGTTTTGACACCATCACCTTGATAACTTATTATGATCTCCACCTTAATTAGTTTGTACAGTTTTGGATTACTTGTTACTTTGGTTAGGCCCTTGCCATGCGCCTCTTATACCTACCATGTTACTCCAGCCATTTGGTTTGTCTCCAGTACCACCTTATTTTTAATTTTTTGTAATTATCTCTCTGCCTCAATTAATCAGATCATGAGTCATCCCTTCACTTGCTATTCAGCTGTTGACACATTACTCACACCGTCTGACACTTTTGAACACCGGCAGAGACTTAGTATTCAGACCGTTGACACTCCACTCACACTCTTTGAATGATCGTTTGATCTCTCTGCCTATAAAGTCTGTGCCTGTATGCGTCTCTTCACTTCACATTACGAAGGAGCAGTGCTCCAAAAGTTTCTAATTTCAAATAAACCTGTTTGACCAAAACCTGGTATTGTGTGACTTCTGACCTTGTCCACCCCAGTCCAACACCAGCACCTCGACATCATTTCGAAAACAGGTTACCAGGTTAATCTAGCCAACAAATGGAGGTTGTGGGAATTCTCTAGTTAATTGGGAATTTCCTTCCCAATCCTCTCGGTCTCTCTTTCCTCCTTTACATCACTCCGTAAAAATAACTTCTTGATCAAGCTTTTTGGACATCTGTCCCAATATCACTTTATGTAGCTCAGTCCCAGTTTTTTTTTGTTCATTCATGGGATGTGGGCATCACTGACCAGGCCAGCATTTATTGCCCATCCCTAATTGCCCAGAGGGCAGTTTAGAATCAACCACGTTGCTGTGGGTCTGGAGTCACATGTAGGCCAGACCAGGTAAGGATAGCAAATTTCTTTCTTTAAAGAACATTAGTAAACCAGTTTTCCTGACAATTGGCAATGGTTTCATTGTCATCATTAGACTCTTATTTCCAGATTATTATTGAATTTAAATTCTACTATCTGTCGTGGTGGGATTTGAAGCCAGGATCCCAGAATATTTCCTGGGTCTCTGGATTGATTACAACGCAAAAGAACTGAGGGTGCTAGAATTAAGAAACAAGAACAAAAATTGCTGGAAAAAGTTAGTAGGTCTGGCAGCAGTGAGCGAAGGAGGAGTGGACAAGGGTGTCCCAGAGGGAGCAGTCCTTGCAGAAGGGTGACAAGGGACGGAAGGGGAGGGGAATATGTAATGATGGTGACATCCCAGTGGATCATTACCCACCATTTCTAATACCTCCAGCTTTGCCTGCACTTCATTCAATATAGGCTACTACATTTGCTGCTTACAATGTGGTCGCCTCTACATTGGGGAAACGAAGCATAGACTGGGTGACCACTTCGCAGAACATCTTCATTCCATCTGCAAAAAAGACCCTGAACTTCCCGTTGCCTGCCACTTCAACACACCACCTTGTTTCCTTCTGGACTCAATATTTTGTTCAACAATTTTAGAGCTTGAGGCACCTTCTCCCATGTTCTTACCCCAACTTTGTCACATCAGGCCTTGTTATCACATGTTCTGCTATTTCACACATCCCATTGTTAGCCACTTAGAGCCCCCATTAGCAGCCAGTCATTCTCCTAGGCTGACCATTATTCACTCCTTTGTCCAACTGTCCTTCTCTCTCTTTGGGCTGTATCTCCACCTGTAGTTTACTCATTATCTCCTTCCACCACCATATCTTCTGCATAAAAAATAACTTCTTCCGAGTTGTCATCATTTCTGAAGAAAGGTCACTGGAACCAAAATGTTAACTCTGATTTCTCTCCTCAGATGCTGCCAAACCTGCTGACATTTTCCAACAATTTCTGTTTATGTGTCTGAATTGATCGTCTACTGATAATTACCACTTGGCCATCACCTATCTCAGTATTTTGTTTGATATTGTTTCTGTGGTCAGTGTTCCCTCTAAAGTGTACAGCAATATGAACATCTCCACACAGGCAGCTCACAAGACAGTCCCTTTAAGTGACAAGCAAAATAATTTAGATGGTTCACACACTGCACAAAAAAATTAGAGGATAAGTTGTATGGGATATTTTAATTATATATAATCATAGAATCCCTACAGTGTGGAAACAGGCCCTTTGGCCCAACAAGTCCACACTGACCCTCAGAGCATCCCACCCAGACCCGTCCCCCTAATCTATACATCCCTGAACACTATGGGCAACTTATCATGGCCAATCCACCTAACCTGCACATCTTTGGACTGTGGGAGGAAACCGAAGCACCCAGAGGAAACCCACGCCTACACAGGGAGAAACTCCACACAGACAATCGCCTGAGGGTGGAATTTAACCCAGGTCCCTGGCACTGTGAAGCAGCAGTGCTAACTACTGAACCACCATGCCGCCCTTGTACTACATAAAAACAGAGTTGTCCTTGAAAGGATAAGGTCCCATCAGCTGGGAGCCCCGTGTTTGTTTGCTACTCTCAGCACAATCGATTATAATATCACTTATAGGTTTGAGTACCATAAACTACTGAAACCTTCCTGTTTCATTCAAAATATTTTGTTTATTAATTAATAGTTTACATTTAATTTTACATTTTAAATTTTTTATACTTAGGTAACTTTCCTTCAGAAGAGGGCATCTGTTCTTCAGGAAGAGCTAAACACCTACCGCAATAGAAGGTGGGCATATTATTTCATACCCAATTTAATCGAGTCATCTTCACCATTTCTGGCTTTTTAGTGTCATGCAGCATGCATAGCCATCTGCTGCCTGTAATCAGTTAAATTAGCTGGAGTTGTTACCATGGCAACATAATTCATGTATGCCTGTGATCCATAAAACTATTTTGATGAAGATTTTCTCACCCTCCCTCCTGCTGACTGCAGATTTTTATGGTTGTTGGGGGAGGGATGTCCCTTCAGGAACCTTGTTCAAGTGGTCATTATTTATGTGAGAGCCTTGACCGTGAACATGGAGAAGCTACTTTATCATGGGGCATTACTGCCAAATCAATTCTTTCTGGCCATGCGCAGACTTCCTAGAGGATGATCCTTGATGGCTATCATGACACTGAGATCCAGTGTCATGCACAAGCTGCCTTACCTGAGATTAATCAGCTCAAGTGCAGACCGTGGGTGAAACCTGGGTTTCATAGCTTGTGAGGCTCAGCTAAATACTTGATAAACTCACTTAGCTTCCAGGACAGCGTAATGAAACTGAAATATACTTTTGAAGGTTTTTTGAAGAGGGTTTTTATCTTCACAAAAATGCTTTTCTCTGTAAGTTACATTTTCTAGATAGGTCCTGAAGTTCTTGCAGATTCTAATTCCTACTGCTCCTTTGATATGCCTAACAAGTGACTTTGTATAAAAAGCTTCAAAGTTTTCAGGCCGGATATTGTTGATGACCCAGAACCTTTAAATATTTTAGATTCCTTGACTAACAAAGAGATTTTGACGGCATCTTGGGAGTTGTTAAAGTTACAAACTTTTCCAGATGAAGTAAGAGGTTTTGTTGATCTGATGGCTATAGTTTCAACTTCCTCTCTCTCCTGAGGTCACTTCATAATGAAATCACTGATCTCAAGCTGCCCTCCAAGTGGCCAGGGGATTGTGTCACTAATGGGTATCATAGCCAAACAGTTACAAACCCTTTGCAAATTTTTATATATTAGTTCTTTTGCATATTTGTCTCAATAATATCTAATAGAATCATACTGAAGGAGGCCATATAGCCAATCTTGTGTCTTTGGTTGACCTCCCCAATTAGTCTACCTCTGTTGTTTTCCAATAACCCTGTAAATAGTTTTCTTTCATGTATTTACATATATCTTTTGAATATTATCATTGAGACTGTGATCACTGCTCTTTCAGGCAGTGCATACCAAATCACAATTAGTTGCATAAAATACGTTTCCTCATGTCACAACTGGATTTTTGCAAGTCACCCTAAAAAAAAACCACCTTATACAACTTGATATCACATTTTATTTGATAACAACACTGTTAAATACCTTGGAAGTATTTTACTTCATTAAAGATGCTATATTGTTGCAAGGAGGTATTATGCCACAGCGGGTAGTGTCCCTGGCTCTCAGCCTGTCGTTCCAGATTCAAGTCAAACTCCAGGAATTAATGGCCATGAGAATGTATTTATGACATGGCCAAGAGATATTGAGTATCAAATTGTAAATCCTTGCAACACACACCAGTGGCAGGTGGGGAAGAACAGAAGATATTCTTGGTCATCCATGTGATGAAAGTAAATTGGATTCTTTACCATCATAATGCATAGCTCCAGACCACAACATGAATGTACAAGTGCAGATAACTCAAAAAGAAGAATATAAATGCAAGTTGTTTTTGAAATTTAGGGAACTCTGGCAAGGCTACGTTTATTGCCTATCTCAGGCTGGACTGTCACCTTGAACCTCTGCAGTCTTTGTGGTGGTGGTGCCCCCACTATGATGTTAAGGAGGAGAGTATTAGGATTTTGGCCCAATGGTGATGAAGTAAGGGCAGTATACGTGCATGTCAGGATAAGTTGAAACTTGGAGGAGAATTTGGACATGGTGGTGTTCCCATAGTGTAGCTGTTATTATCCTTCTTGATAGTGGAAGTCACAGGGGAGAGAGGTACTTTATGCATTTGATGTCACCAACCAATAATATCACAAATTGTTTCCTATTCAGAACACAGAAGAAGCCAAATAATTTTTGTGTTTTAAGATCCAAGTGCAAAGCTGCAATAATACAAATATACTGTATTTTGGAGTCTGTCAGGTTAATTATCACAGTAAATATTTATGTGTTATTCAATGGTTGTGACACTTACACAAACTGATAGAATGGTACAACAGAGAAGGCACCTCAGCCCACTTTGAAAGCACTATCCAATTAGTTAGTTGCATTTCCTTGCTTTTACTACATAGTCTTATTCTGAAGTATGAATACCATTTTATAATTGTATATAATGGAATAGATACTGACACATAAGAGAAAATCAGTGACTTTTTTTTGGAACCAGAGCACTCAACCAACAGGCCTTATCCATGATTATGTAAAAAAGCAGCTTAACAAAGGAAATTAGGATGGAATCTGTCTGCAACCCATGGAATAAGCTATACTAGGTATGCAGCGGCCACTTTCAATCCTGCATCACTCTGCACTCTGGCCACTTTGCTTCAAAGTCTCTTATACATAATTATCTCAAGGTGCAATTGTACACAGATTGGAATAACAGTTGGAACATTTATAATGTATAATTTACATTAAAATTATGGAAATGCTGAGTTTGTCTGACTGACTGCTACCATGTAAATGTGGGATAATGTGAACAACTAAATGTGGGGTCTGTCATTATAATATTCATTCACCATCATTAAAGCAATTGTAAAACAAAAAAAACTATAACTACCGTTTCCTGCCAGTGGTACACCTCTGATGGAAGGAAGGGGAGATTACAGCCTGACATGTTCACATAGGCACTTTCCATTATAAATATGGATGGTGAAATTTAGTGTATGCATAGGCAAAAGGTTTTTAATATATTAATAGATTTATTAATTTTATTATAACTGTATTTGAACACCTTTGGTTTGCACCCAAACAAAACCTGTCATTTTACTATTTCAGATGAAGAACCATTGGGATGATTTCCTTACCTCACTCACACCTTCAGTATAACTAACATGGCACAGAATTGGATTCCAACAGAATCAGCAGCTACTATGTAAGGATGGGCAGAGCAATGAGATTAAAAACTGACTATTAGTAATCTTATATTGTATCGAAGCTCAAAAAGACACTATTCCCCCTATAAGTATTGTGTCTTCCCTTCCACTTTGTTTTGTTCCAATCAGACATCCTTTTAACATTTTAATTTTGCTTTTCAAATGTTTATATATTTTTTATAAACTATATCAATAATCTGTAAGTCTGTACATATCAGTCAATATTTTCTTATTATTTAAATCTGCAGTTCTTGCCTTAAATCTAGCAATCAAGTTCTCATTTAAAATTATGCTTTGTATTGTACATCATTTATTTTTAACATTGCTATGATTTTTAAATGCTAACATCTCATTAAATTTTCTATTCCATGCATGTTTGTTTTGTGATTGTTTTAAGGTAGTGTGATATCTTTGAAGGAGCTTCCTGTCATAGCTGGAGTAATTTCTTCCCCAGGTCATGTCTGAAAATTAATGTTTTTCTTTAAAAAAGATGACTTGGTTGTTGGATCATAAAGTTAGTTTTATTAACCTGAACGACCATTTTATTGCACAGGATCTGATTCCTATTTATCAGTAGTTCCATAGCAACCATATATTTCTAAACGGTTGAAGAAGCTGTACTAATTGGGCAAGGAGTAAGTTATGTCCATGTAATAAGAAACCATATGGCCATAACATCCTCAAGATAAACTCCTGGTCATGCTGAATGAGCTGATCTGAGCAAAGGGACAATTTAGACCAATTCCATTGGCCACTCAGGCTGGTAGAATCGGGCTTCAACATGGGTTAACATTTTCAGAAGTTTATTTATTTAAAAAGTTAAGATTTCTAAAGATTCTGAATAAAAATTGGTCCTGCTGCTGAAAGCACCCCTCAAGGAATCTAATTCCAGCCATTCCTCAGACATGTTTCAGACATAAAGCTCCTTCTGGCAATATTTAAATTGTAATTCATTCCAAAACAACAACCACAACTTGTGTGTATGTAATGTCTTTAAGATAACAACATCCCAGGGTACCTTGTACTGGCAGAAATGGAACCAAGCAGTAGTAGAGGGATTAGGAGAATTAACCAAAGGCAAAGTCAAAGAAAAGTGAGGAGAGAGTAACAAGAAATTTGCTAGTGCTACTTGGGAGGCTTTAAACTAGGAATGCTGGGGTGGCGGGGTTTGGCGGCAGTGGCAACCATGAAAAAAGAGAAAAGGCTGAGGCTGGTACAATAGATAAGGAGAGCAAGTCTAATAGTCAAGTCAGACAAGACCTTGGCAGAGAACAAGGTAAGACTGATCAATTAAACTGCATTTACTTCAATGCAAGAGGCCTGACAGGTAAGGCAGATGAACTTAGGGCATGGTTGAGAACACAGGACTGGGATACATGGCTCAGCAAGGGGCAGGACTGGCAGCTTCATGTTCTAGGGTACAGATTCTATCGTAAGGATAGAAAGGGAGGCAAGAGAGGAGGGGGAATTAGGGAGGATATTCCTGGGAGATCATCCAGTGAAGTTATACAAATGAAAATTAAAAATAAGAAGGGGATGATCACCTTGTTAGGATTGTATTATAGCCCCTGCCCCGCCAACAGTCAGTGGGAAATTGAGAAGTAAATATTTAAGGAGATCTCAAATAACAGTAAGAAAAATAGGGTTGTCTTGGTAGGTGATTTTAACTTTCCAAACACTGACTGGGACTATCATAGTGTCAAGGGCTTAGTTGGGGAGGAATTTGTTAAGCATATACAAGAAAATTTTCTTATTCAATATATGAGTGTACCTACTAGAAAAGGAGCAAGACTTGACCTTCTGTTGGGAAATCAGGCAGGGTAAGTGACCTGAGGTGTCAGTGGGGGAGCATAATTAGAGTGAGAGTCACAGAACTGTACAGCATGGAAACATACCCTTTAGTCCAACTCATCCGTGCCAACCAGATATCCTAAATAAATCTCGTTTCATTTGCCAGCATTTGGCCCATATCCCTCTAAACCCTTCTATTCACATACCCATCCAGATCCAGTCCCTCTACACCTGCATTCCCCATGCAGATGGCCTTAAGGCCCTCCGCTTCTTCCTGTCCCGCAGGCCCGACCAGTCCCCCTCCACTGACACCCTCATCCGCTTAGCCGAACTCGTCCTCACACTCAACAACTTCTCTTTCAATTCCTCCCACTTCCTACAGACAAAGGGGGTAGCCATGGGTACCCGCATGGGCCCAAGCTACGCCTGCCTCTTTGTAGGTTACGTGGAACAATCCCTCTTCCGTACCTACACCGGCCCTAAACCCCACCTCTTCCTCCGTTACATTGATGACTGTATCGGCGCCGCCTCGTGCTCCCA